CCGCCCCCCTATGCGCCCGCCGCTGGGCTGGCAGCGCTCATGCCGGCCGCCACGGGCCCAGCCGCCACGGGCCCCCCCCCGCGGTGCCACCCGCGTGGGCGAGTCCTGCACCCGCCGCTCGGGCCTCGGGTAGCGAACTGGGCTCAACGCAAGTCTTGCCCCGCCAGTGTAGAGGAACTTCGCTCTGCGCTGCAACTTCTGTCGGCGGCTTCCAAAATCGGGCTCAGCCAACACGTCAGGCAACCTCCAGGGCTTCGAGCGACTCCCAGACCTGGCTCAACCAATTTCCTGCCTTGCAGGACCGTGCAAGATCTGTCGCTCTGATTGAGCCCCGTCTGCTTTGAACCATGTTACGTGCGCCCCGAGACGCTCCTCGGGCTCCTCGCGGCTACACGCAGGAAGGACCCTAGGCAAGGCTGACCTTCCGTGCGCGTTTTCGGGAAGGCGCGGGGGGGGCGCTAAACCCAAGCGCGCAAACTTACATTTTCTGGGACAGCGTCCGTGCACTCCCCCCCCAGATGACGCCACGTTCAGCGCCGACGGCATTTGGGAATGCCTGGGATGACCGGGGCCAAGTAAGAGCAGCATGTCGGTGGCGATCTGCGCCGCAGCGCCTTTGCACACAACAGTCCTCGCGTGCACCACGGGCCGCGTGCACACCACAGCGCCTGTGCACACCGCAACAACAATGTGCAACGCAACGCCTGTGTACACCACAACGCCTGTGTACACGGCAACAGCCATGCGCAACGCAACGCCAGTGTACACCACAACGCACGCGTGCACCGCAACGCCTGTGCACACCACAGCGCCTGTGTACACCCCAGCATCCACGTGCAACACAACACACAGTGTACAACACAGCGCCTACGTGCACAGGACAGGTAGAAGGAACACCTGGGTGAGGATCTGCTGCGGACAACTACAGTCGAAATCTATCGGAAGGGCGGGCGGCGGGCGGTAAGAACGCAAGGGCTTTGGATGCCGAAGTTGGTACTTTTGGGCGGCGGGTTGCCCACGCCCGGAATCGCTGAGGCAAAGTCCTAAAAATACCCTACGGACATCTGTGCGTCCTGACTATCAGTTTTGAGTGTAAACGCCACGCAAGCGGAGTGCTGACAATAGAATGCGACAGTCTGCTCTCCTCGTGCCTCCTGCACTGTCTCCGCAAGTCTCGAGTCTGATGGGCCGAACTAACTGGTCAAGGCTGGTACATCCAAAATTGAAGAGACGGCCTGCAAGGGCTGCAACACGCAACGGAAATGTCACGAATTACGGCCCGCAAGTGCGGAAGATGGAAGAGGACGACGAGGAAGACAGAGGGAAGATGGGAGGTGCGGAGAGGTGCGAGGACTCGGGAGGACGAGGCAAGGTGAAAGTACTGCGGGACGATGCATTTTGTCAGAAAGATCCCCTCTGCCATTCAAAATACAACAATGGTTTATTTTGCACACGGTTCCGGTGGTGGACACAGGCTCCGTGATGTACACAGACGCTGTGGTGCACGCAAGCATTTGGTGTACACTAGTGCTGTAATACACAAACTCTGTGGTGCACGCGGGGGCTGTGGCACACACTGGCGCTGTGGTGTGCATAGGCGGCGCGGTATAGACAGGCGCCGTGGTGCACGCAAGCACTGTGGTGTACACGAGCGCTGTGGTGCATATCGCCACCTACATGCTGCTGCTACCCGTCCTCGGTCATTCCTATTCATTCCCAGGAGACCATTTGTTTGGAATCGGTGATATCCTGGGTAATCCGGGGGGGAGGGGGGAGGGGGCCGGCCGATAGCCTAACCCTCGGGCTGTGGGCATCCCTGCAGCTGCCCGCGCGCACCGGTGCTGCGGCCCCTACAGATGTTAAAGATGCTGCTGCGATTGGTGTTGCGACGATGCAGGCGCCGTCAAAGAATGCCTAGGGATGTCTGGACAGCTCGCGTTGGAACACGCGGGATGTGATTGCTAAGCGTAGCCGCGAAGTCTTGTGTACACTAGTCTATTGAACACGAGTGCGCCACACTGCCTGTGAACAGTACGAAAAATGCGTGCCCCACAACGGTAGTGCACACCACAGGTGCTGCTGCAGAATAGGTTTCTGCGGGCACCACAGCGCCTGTGTACACCCCGATGCCTGTGCACATCACAGGAACAACGTGCACCACAACGTATGGCGAACATTTGCGCCACAACGCTTCCGCGGACCTTCAAGGTCCCGCCGGGGCCCGAAATGTGGAAAATCCCCGGGGGCCCGAACGTATCAAATTCAGTGTGCAAATCATTTGTGATTATCGATGTTTCTGGCCTGGGTTACCTTTTTTGCGGGGCCGATCATGCTTATGTACACCACAGCCCTGTCTAGCGTGCGCCACGACGCCTTTGTACATCACAACTGCTTGTTTACACCGCAACGCCTGCCTGCACAACAATGCCTGTGTACACCACAGTGCCTGCGTACACGACAACACCCCTGTGCACCACAGCGCTTGTGTACACTGCGGTGCTTGTGCACGCCACAGGAGCTGCGTGCACAAACCGCATGGCAAACATTTGCTTCATAACGCTTCCGTGCACCTCCAAGGTCCCGCCGGGGCCCAAACCTAGAGAAAACTCCTGGGGGCCCGAACATATCATGCCCACTATGTAGGATACGTGTGATTATGTTTTTTTCTGGCCCGGGGTGCGGTCACCCCTTTTTGGCCGACCATGTTTGTGTACACCACAGCGCCTGTCTAGCGTGTGCCACGACACCTTTGCACACCACAGCTGCTTGTGTACACCGCAACGCCTGCCTACACAATAATGCCAGTGTACACCACAATGCCTTCGTACACCACAACACCCGTGTGCACCGCAGCGCCTGTGTGAACGCGACGATGCCTGTTTGCACCACGGTTGCTGCTTCAGCACCATACTCGTGCACCACAGCTCCAGTGCACCAGAATTCTTGTGTACACCACAAAACTGGGTACAGTTCCAGGGCCCCCGGCAGGACCGAACTCCAGAAAATCGTGGGGAATCCGAACGTATCAAATTCAATATGTAAGCTATGTGTGATTATTGGCTTTTCTTGCGCAGGGAACGGTCCCGTTTTTGGGGCCAAGAACGCTTGTTTCACACCATAGCGAATGTGTGCACAGCAGCGGATGTGTACACCACGGCGCATGTGTACACCACAAGGTGTGGTACACCGCAATGACAGTGCACCGCAATGATTTTGTAAACCACCAATGCCTGGGATGCCTGCGCACATGATAACTGATGTTTCAGCAACAATCGTGCATACCACAAAGCTTGTCTTCACCATATTGCCTGGGTGCATCACAATGCCCGCGTGAACCGCGCGACCTGCGTGCACTTATGCTTGCGTGCGCTCAACGCCTGCGTACACGACAGATCTTGCTGCAAAACAAGCAAAGGCGCGCACCAAATCGCCTCGCTGGCTGTGCACAACGCAATGCCTGTGTACGCGCTGCTCACGTGCACGTCCAGATGCCGTCGACGGTCGTCGGTGTCAGCGTCGTCGTGTGTCGCCGTCCATCGTCATGTATCGTCGTCAGTCGTCTGTCGTCTGTCGTCTCTCGTCTGACGCCTGTCGCCTGTCGTCGTCGTCGTCCTCGTCGTCGTCGTCGTCGCCCCGTGCCACTCCAAGCCCCAACTTTCCGCCAACGTGCATCCAAACACCAACATGCTGTGGCGAACACCACCGCGCCGTTGAACACAGCGCTCCCTGCAAGCTCCCTGCGCCCCCCCCGAACCTGCACAACTCACTGGCCAGGTTAGGTTATCCTGGGGGGAGGGGGCGAGCCCGATAACCCAGGTTATCGCCGGACCCTAATAAAAACAGTCTCCAGACGCCGCTGGCGCGGAACGTGACGTCATCGCCCCCCCAAAATGACGGCTGGTATCGGTCCAGGATGAAGAACACAGGCTCCCGTCACATCGCATTCAACGACCGGGGGAGCCCAGAGGGTCAGCACCGAAGGTCACTCTAGCGAAGGGTCTCTCTTACGTGTAGCATGTGGCCAACGGGTCCAGAATACAGGACAAGATCCATCCTGAGTAGAGCCCCGAGGGCCCGAAAACGGCTGAAAATCTCAGGACCCGCTTTCCCCCATGGCGATACGTGCAGTCGATCCTGCGCTGGCCACAACGGACAGGCCCGTGCGTCCGTCGGCCCCCTCCGCGGTGCTGCCCGCCTGCCTCCGGCGCCCTCCGGGCGGCGCAGGGACCGCGCCGCCAGCGGTGCTCGCGCGCAGTCCGTCGGGCTGCAGGGGCCGCCGCCGCGATGCAGTCAACCCGAAGAGCGAGGGCGCAGGATGAGGAGGCAAGGGGCCTTGGAAGGCCACGTCGACACGCTGCGAGCGGGGCGCAGCCAGCGAAAGCAGCCAAGGATGGGCCGGAAGGGTAAGGGTGCGAGAGTCCTGCAAGAGTTCGCCTTGGAGAGTTGCTCGTCCTTCCTGTGAGGGTTGACTGTGGCCTCTTCGCAGGCTGTGCCGTCCCCATCCACGATCGCGGCCCCGACTCCCGGGAGCAGGAGGGGGAAAGGGAGGGCGTGGGGGGGAAGTGGGAGGAGGGACTGCTGCTGCGTTGACTAAATGTGTGCCCCTGCCCCCTCCTCCCCCTCCTGCCACTGCCGCTGCTGCTCCTCCCGCGGGCTGTGCTGGCCCAGCCAGGGCCCGAAGTCGGCTCGAGGCCCGCTCTGCTTGAGGCGCGTGCTCGGCCGCGGACTCGGACTGGCCCCACACGCCTGGCACCAGTGGCCACTCGCCCCAAAGGTGGGCGAGTGCCGGGGCCGCGGGGAAAGGCCGAGGAGGGCGGCAGCAGAGGACGGGGGGATGATGAGCAAGTCTGGGGAGGAGGAAGGAAGAGGAAGATGGAGGGACATGGGAGTAGAAGGGGCGAGGAGGGAAGCGCGAGGACGAGACGAGAGGAAGAGGGGGGAAGGAGACGAGGGGGCAAGGAGAGGAGACGGAGGGGCGAGGGGAGTCCGTGCTCGCCAGCCTCGAGATGTTCTTGTGCTGGCAACCGACCTGTGCAGCCGACGGGGCGGGAGGAGGAGCTCTCCGCTCTCAGCGCCCAGGGCCGCTCTGGCCGCCTCCGCCCCCCCACCCGGGGGCGGGATGGGGGGCCTGAATGAGACGAGGGATGACGAGGGAGGGCGGAGAGAGGACGAGGAGAGAGGGGAGGAGAGTTGGGAGGGGAGGGGCGGGGGTGAAACCATGGGGGGAGGGAGCGTCGAGACCGAAGAGGGTGGTGCGAGTGGGGAGGGGGAGAGGCTGTGAGGGGGAAGGGAGGAACAACAAAAAGGGGAGGGAAGGACGAAAGACGACGATGTGGGGGAGAGAGAAGGGGGAAGATGAACAGGATGGGGCGGGGGTAGGCGGAGAGGTAGAGGGAGGGAGGAGGTGGCAAGCAAGGGTAGAAGGATGACGAGGTGAGAGGGGAGGGTATCAGAGGAGACTCCGTGAGAGGAGAGAGAAACACGACGGCAGAGGGGACGCGATGATATAGGAAGGACGAGGGGGAAGGAACGGATGGGGAGGGGAGGGGAGATGATGGGAAGGCGGTGAGGGACAGCAGAAAACTTCCAAATGAAGGCGCACGAAGGGAGAGGTGGGAGGGCAAGAGAGAGAAGGGGAAAGGGGGAAATAGAGGGCAGTGCAGGACGAGGGCGGAAAGAGGACGCAGAGCTTTCAGGGAGGATGAGGGGAAGGGGGAGGGAAGCGAGCAGGGGAGAGGAGGGGGGAATCCCCAATTCCTCCTATACTCCTCCTCGCCCCCCTCTCCAAGAGGCAGACAAGCAAGCCAAGGCCGGTGCAGCGCTCTGCCCCGCTCCCCATCACTTGCTCAATACTTGGCGACCCAGGTCCAAGGAAGTCACATCTCTTCTGGGCTTGATAGGGTCTATCACCTCCAAGGTGGAAACCTTTGCGGACACCACGGGGCGTCCCAAGGGTGCCAGAGCCCCAGGCCCCTGCTCCAGAGTCGGTCAAATCCCTATCGTTCCTGCCCCTAGCCGTCACAATATTGAATGGGCGCGCGGGGCCTGGAAACGTAAGCATTGTAATCCATGCACTCGCACTTCCCAGGCCCGTGTCAGGTTGGCGAGCCACGCCTGCTCGAAGCGAATGGTATCCTCGCACTCCGAGTGCGAGTGCCACTCGCGATGAAAGGGGAAGATTCCAACTGACCAAGCTCCATTTTGGGTGCTACGACAACACCGCCTTTGTCGCACGGGTCCGTACACCGTCAGCCGTCGATACGGGGTGTTTTCCAACCGATAAGCATGTGTCTTGCTTCTTGGCTGTCCAAGGGAACCTCGGGATCGTAATGCCAAGACTCGACGCAATCGATTGTTCAAGCGTCGTCATACAGTTTTGGAGGGAGATGTCTCTACTCTCACTCGAGACAGAGTGCTGGAGTTCTACAAATCTATTTAGGAGCCTGCACGCCCGTCTGATCCTCATTGTCCCCCCTCCTCCTCTTCCTCGGGTGGAGGGTTCGGAGGGTGGTGGGGGAAAGGATGGTAAGAGCTGGCGGCCATCCCGAGGAAGGGGCCCAGGAGGCCTGGGAGCTGCATGGACTGAGCAAGGCCCAGACCTTGCGTGCGGTGCGGCTCTCGCTCCGACGTCAGGCTACCCAACCACCGCTTGGATTCGCTCTGCCAAACTCTCCCGTCCTCCGAACCTTCGGACTAGATCGCACGCTTGGCTCCGTGACTTCACATCTCAGCAGGCACGCAAGTCGTCACGATGTACCTCCAAGCTCTGTGGTCGTGGGGAAAGCCCTGCTCGCCCCCCCCCCTCCCATCTGAACAGCTCCACGCCCACAACTCCCCATCTGAAGCTGTCTAGGCCCGTTGGGTCGTGCTGCCCTTTCCGGCAGCCCGACCGCTGCAGGTGCAGGGCCAGTCTGCGCCAGGGCCTGGGACGACTTGTCTCGGCAGGGCCTGCAGCGTCGTGACAGGTCTTGGGACTTCTTGGGCCTTGGCGGCTGTGTCCATGTCTACATCCTCTTCGTTCCTCCTCTTGCTCCTCATTTCTCTGCCTGGGCATGCCCGTCCCCTCGCTAGGACCGGGGAGGAGGAGGACGAAGAGGATGAGAGGGAGGACGCGGAGGAGGAGGCGGAAGAGGACGAGGACAACGAGGAGGACTACATGACAGAAGGGGAAAGGGGCAGAGCGGACGGAGAACGGCAAAGCTGGAAGTTACGTTTCCGCCCTACGCGACCATCGGGTGCGCTGGGCCCCAACCCTCTTCGAGCCCCTTCGGGTCGCACTTGTCAAGGTCGCCCCGTGAAATTATCGCCGCGTTGTCGCAGCCATCAACCTCGTGGCAATTCACAACCTGTGGCTCGTCCCCGTCGCCCATAAGCGTGACTCCGCCGCTCCACTCCTTGGGAAACCCAAACGCAACCGGGATGTACCCGCCCGCCGGAATATATATATATATATATATATATATATATATATATATGTACACATATATATATACATATATATATGGATATATATATATATATGGACTAGAACCATCGCGCGCGCTTCGGGCGCGCTCAGGTTTTAGCAGGCCCCAGGCCTTGACGAATTCACTGCTCCACTGAAGTAGTGGACCACAGTACACGCATACCAATCTGCATTCCGAAAGGCCTTCGAGGGAAATGGTTGTGAAGGGGGCGGAGGCCGTATGAATCGGGTTCCCAGAAGGCCTTCTGGGAGCATGGGTTTGGGGCGTCTTGGGGAGCCTCGTCGTCGTCTTCGTCGTCGTCGTCGTCGTCGTGTTGCTACGACCCATTCCCGAACCTGACCTTGGGGGTGGCCTAACCTGGCGCAGCCCCGATTGGCAACAGACCCGACACGTTCCGTCCAAACTGAACGCCAGGTTCGCACGCGCCCAGCACGAAGGGACGGCAGCTGCGGTCGCCAGTTGTCTCGCGCCGAGTCCGTACGTTTTACTACGGGGACGGGCTGATGTTTGCCTCTTGAAGGCCCTCTTGGGGCCCTCTTCGGTCATGTTCAAGCCATCTCGGGCCCTCTTAGGTTAGGTTCGTGAGTTGTGACTACAGGCGGTCCACGACCACTTCGGGCCAAGAAACCCAAACCAAAAAAAAACACCAGGAAATCTTGAAACCCAAACCTGGGGAGGCCGACATCCTGAACAAAAACTCAAACACCGAACCTGCGAAAAACTCAAACCCACAAAAGCATAGAAACAACTGAAGCTCAAACCTGTGAAAAAAACAACTCAAACCAAACAAAAACTCCAGAAAATCTCTAAGCCGAAACCTGGGAGAACAATGATGAACAACTCTGGAAAAACATTTGAAACAACTAAAACAACTAGAAAACAACTAAGGAAGAACTCTAAACGACTGACAACTCCAAACTACTCTAGAACAACTCACAAGCATCTCTACAAACTTGAAACATCTAAAACAAAATTATAAAATAAAAGCAACTCTGGAAAAACTCTAAAACAACTCTGGATTTCTATATAACATGTTTTTTTTTACAAACACACACACACACCTTCCGGGTTTGAGTTTTTTGTCCGGGTTTGAGCTTCAGGTGTTTTCTAAGTTTTTTGTGGGTTTGAGTTTTGTTCCCAGGTTTCGGCTTAAGATTTTCTGCAGTTTCTTCTGTGTTTGAGTTTTCCCCAGGTTTTGTGTTTGAGATGTTCTCAGGTTGTCTTGGATTTTGAGTTCCCCATTGAAGATTATTTAACATTTGTTTGGAGTATGAGTTTCCGGCCGAAGATCTTTTGAAGATTTCGGCAGGTTTTCCTATGGACCGCCTGTAGCCAATTCACGAACCTAACTCTTGGGCCTCACTGAGGCTGTCCTGGGGCCCTCTAGGGTGCCCTCGGAACCCAGAAAACATGTTCCCGGAGAGGCTTCCGGGAACATGATTTCGAACAGGGCCCTCTTGGGCCTCCCTGAGGCCGTCTTGAGGGCCTCCTCGGGGCCTCTTGGGCCGTCTCGGGGGGTTCGGTGAGCCCCACAGGCCGACCCTTTTGGGCCGTCTGGGGCCCTCTAGGGTCTCTCTTGGGCTGTCTTGGGGCTCCTTGGGGGCGTCTGGGGCACTGCGAAGACGTTGGCAGCGAGTATGCCGAAAATGCACGTTTTACAAAGAAATTGTGCAGATTGTTGCCTCTTGAAGGCCCTCTTGGGGCCGTCTGGGGCCCTCTAGGGTCTCTCTTGGGCTGTCTTGGGGCTCCTTGGGGGCGTCTGGGGCACTGCGAAGACGAAGCCAGCGAGTATGCCGAAAATGTACGTTTCACCAGGAAAATGTGCAGACTTTTGCCTATTGAAGGCCCCCTTGGGGCCCTCTTCGGCCATCTTCAAGCCATCTCGGGTCCTCTGGGGCCTCGCTGAAACTGTCCTGGGGCCCAGAAGGGAGCGCTGGGAGCCCGGAAACCATGTTCCCGGAGAGGCTTCCGGGAACATGATTTCGAACGGGGCCCTCTTCGGCCTCCCTGAGGCCGTCTTGGGGGCCTCCTGGGCCGGCTTCGGGGCCTCTTGGGCCGTCTCGGGGGGTTCGGTGAGCCCCACAGGCCTACCCTTTTGGGCCGTCTGGGGCCCTCTAGGGTCTCTCTTGGGCTGTCTTGGGGCTCCTTGGGGGCGTCTGGGGCACTGCGAAGACGAAGCCAGCAAGTATGCTGAAGATGTACGTTTTACAAAGGAAATGGGCCGATGTTTGCCTCTTGAAGTCCCTCTTGGGGCCCTCTTCGGCCATCTTCAAGCCATCTCAGGCCCTCTGGGGCCTCGCTGAGGCTGTCCTGGGGGCCTCTTGGGCGTCCTCGGAACCCAGAAATCATGTTCCCGGAGAGGCTTCCGGGAACATGATTTCGATCGAGGCCCTCTTGGGCCTCCCTGAGGCCGTCTTGGGGGCCTCCTGGGCCGGCTTTGGGGCCTCTTGGGCCGTCTCGGGGGGTTCGGTGAGCCCCACAGGCCGACCCTTTTGGGCCGTCTGGGGCCCTCTAGGGTCTCTCTTGGGCTGTCTTGGGGCTCCTTGGGGGCGTCTAGGGCACTGCGAAGACGAAGCCAGCAAGTATGCCGAACATGTACGTTTTACGAAGAAAATGTGCAGATTGCTGTCTCTTGACGCCCCTCTTGGGGCCCTCTGGGACCCTCTTGGGGCTCTCTTGGGGTCCTCAGGGGACTACTTGGGGCCTCTTGTGGCCCCTTTGAAAGCTTCTGGAGACTGAGGGCTGGAATTTTCGGCGAGGGGGCCACGATCTTCGTGAAGGGTGCAAAAAAATGGCCCGCCACCCCGGCCTACTCCGATATATATATATATATATATATATATATATATATATGTATATATATATATATATATGTATATATATATCTATATATATATATGTATGTATATGTATGTATGTATGTATGTATGTATGTATGTATGTATGTATGTATATATATATATATATATATGTATGTATGTATACACACACGACAAGCGCAGAAAAGATTGGGCTCGGGCCCGCCCAGAGAACAGCAACAAACAACAAACACCGATCGATTCTTGAAGTAGGACGGCGCTTGACGTAGATTGGGACCTGGGAAACTCAAACTACATATTGTCAGCGACCTGCGAATATGGATAGTGTAAAGCTTCGGTGATCACAAGGGAAATGAAAAGTGCGTGGAGAATCCCATCAGCCCTCTGGGCGTACGAAATTTGGCGAACTGGTTATTCAATCCCTCCTCTTCCACTTTGTGGAAAAAAGGGCTACTCCGCGTTAGTAATAGCACGTCCGCCCACATCCCCAACTCGGAAAGAACGCGTTTCGTGGACGCCTGCTTGGAAACAACCCAGGACACGTCGGAACTGCCCCCCCTAAACATGTTCGACCAAACCCCTTCCCCTTCCAAAAGGGGAAGGGGTTTGGTCGAACTCCCCCCCTGTCCAAAAAGGGAAACGGGGTTTGAACGGCCCCACCCCCGATAGAATCCGACGTGTGCTCGATCGGACTCCAATGGGATCCTACTATAACTGGATCAAACTTTAATGCTATCCTAGTCGGGCTCGACCCAACTCCAATAACACCCTACTGCATCTGGAATCAAATCTAATCCCACCAGCCCTCTGGGCGTTGGTGGTTTGACGGAATTCCGTTTCTCTCAGCCAAAGCTCCCTCCGCCCCCTGCTCGGGGGAAGGGCTTAAGTGTGACAGGGGCTGGGAGGCCCAACCAGAAGCTTCGCCCAAGGCGGAGCCCATATCCAATTTTGTTTTACCGTAGCAACGATAGTCCCAGGAGTAGAAGGTCGTCGCGGGAGCGACAGGCCACGTCAAGCGAAAATGTTTGCGGCCTCGATGGCAAATTGTGTGCCTCGCGATGAGGCGCAGTCATATGTTGGCGGCCAGCCGCTTGAGCACAAACGGCCGCGGACAAACGCTCGCTATCTCTCGCCTTTGGCCCGGCCTCCCTTAGACTCGGGGGGGAAGAGACGAAGCGTGATTCCGCCGCCCGCTATATAGTAAGCACCATAAACACAAAGTAGGCAGCAGCAGGCGGGCTCAACAAGGTTGACCCTCAAGCGAGTACAGTTGCAATCAAGTTGCCTCGTAGGCAAGTCACCTGGCAGGCGATTGCTCCTCAGGCGGCTCGGACGATCAAGCCTGGCCAGCCCTGTATGGAGCGTGTCTTGTCAACTCGCGTTTGAAGGAGCACGTTCCTCCCATGACCTGTGGGATCATATCTCTGTCGACGTTCCCTTTGGCGCGGGCGTCCGCGGTCATATCGCGATGTCACACCACTGTGCACTATGCGCGATACCTCGTTCAAACATCTGTCGCATCCAACTGATATGTCCAAAAGTGCACGCGAGGGAGCCCAGGCGAGCGCGCGTCGAAGGGACCCCCTTCAAAGAGAAAAGACGAGAGTGGCACGGCGCGCGCGCGGCCGCATCCCCGCCGCGGGACAGCCCTCCCGAAGCGAGAGAGGACCCCGAAGACAGCAGCCTCGCAGAGAAGGGCAGCGGCGCAGCGTCGGCGAAACGTCGAAGCAGCTGGAAGGAAGGACAAGGAGCGGGGATGGAGGGGGGACGGATGGACGAAAGGGGGAATGGGGGTGGCATAGTAGCAAAGCAGCGCGGTCTTGGACAGCGCCCAACTCAAGTTTTCGCGCTCGCAGGGCGCAGGTTGCCGCGCGGCGCTCAATGCCGCGTCGCGAGCGAACTCGGCTGAAGGGCGGGGGCGAAGCGCTTCGCCGCCTGCCGTGGCGCTACGCTGCGCCGCGCAAGCGGGCGACCGCGGCGAATGGAAACCGCGTCGAACGGAGGGGGGGGCAACGCGCCCCCCCGGGCGCGACAAACTGGGGCGTCGCCACTGCAATGGACTAGCCGCAGACACGCGCGCGCACGTGAAAAAGGACACGCCGACAAGCC